AGGGGAAGAAAGCTTCAAGGATCGCAGAAAATACGGAGGAAAATTGTCTTTCGTTTTCTTAAAAGAAAAAGTGACATTTGGGTTTGACGAAAAAATAGTTTTTTGAATAAATTTTATCAGTTAAAAGAAAAAATGACAGGGATGATTAGTCTTTTGGATGAATTTGTAGATTTATTTGTGAATCTGGAGGTGCAAAGAAAAGATAGCACCAACCTTCACTGAAGATATACCAAGCAGCAAGCACCTGCTGGTATGCAAATCAGCGCAACCACTTGTTCGTAATCGTAGAAATTTCGTCGTACGACGGCAAATTGGTGGCAAATTTGAATGATGAGTAACAAGAATCAAAACAGTGCATGTCGAGTCGATCATTTTGTTTCAGGAGTACTAGCGCAGTAATACTAGCAAAAGCATAATTCGTGAATAGGCAGGAGTGCGTTAAATTTCATTCTTCTGGAAATCAAGCAAATTCCAAATAGCGCCCGATAACGGCAATCTCCAGACATCGCTTCATTACAGTATCGAAAATCTGGAATGAATAATGAAAAAAAATATGAGAAATTAGACACATAAGTATCGAGTGTAGCATTACTGCTGGCAAAGTGCAGCGACATGAGAAAGGAGGAATGGAATAGTCGAATATGTTTATTTAACATTCTGAAAAAAAGCCAAATTTTACAATCTCATTTAAGCTAACCGGTATTTGCGTTGGGTGACGTCTGTGTTTCAGGCCTGAACTGTAAACACAGATGACTAAATTGGTGCGAAATGGGGTGGGAATCACAATTCCGATTACCAGAAAAGAATCCATTTAATAATCAGTGGATTTACTCATTTGCATTAAGTGCAAAAGTACGAGCTGTGGTTGGATGAAGTGCTTAACACAGACTTCATTTGATCGTTGGCCATATGGATTATTTGATCAGGGCAATATCATAGTTAGCCATTTTGACGTTTTATCTAGTTGCACCTCACTGAATGTTGCTTAATGAGAAAAAAGTAAATTAAACAACTGTATTCAAAGATTTTCTGTTACTACAGGATTCTGTCTGCCAAGCGAGTTTATTTTTTACATTGAATCCAAGAATCTTGTTCCGCACTCTTGCATGTTACTATTTATTAGCATCATTCACGCACAATAACAACTACGAGGCTAGTTTTCGGCGT